TGTACACAGGTGCAATTCTCAACAAATCCCGATGAAGCCTCTTGCTTTCACGTTTTAAAAACTCTTCATCCTCACCACAGTTCTCCAACCATTTTTCTTCCGCTTCAACATCCTTTCGCCAAGCATCATTTGAAACCTTTCTCAATTGTAACTTCATTTTCTTAGCTTTCAATTTCTTTATCCGTATTGCATGTTGATTACCATAAGGCTGGAAGAGATGCCGATGATATGTGCATGCTATAAGAAATTTTCGATGGTCAAAAATGCAGCCAGTGGCTCGTGCACAAGGCTGGAAAAATAAAATAATATAAGCAAGAAAAAAATAAAATCAGAATAAAAACCAAAACAGAAGAATGTTTTGCACAGCAAATAAAATAACCAACCAAGTGGTAAGTTTTCGGACACCGATCAACACGACATCCAATAGTTGCCCCTGGCCTTCCACAGCGGCTACATTTTAATGCTTTGCCTCTGCAAAGTGCAGCCCTAACATTTTTCAAGCAACCCAAGCCAGCAAAATAAACCTGCAAACACAGATCACAAGGTATGGAGATTTACTGCAACATAATAGTCAGATGGAAGCACAAATTAATGTTTAAAAACTCCCAGTTCTTGCAAAAATCTACTAGCTCATAAAACAAGATAGAGGAACCCATTCAATACATATACATAAAATTAATGTCCATGAAAAATTAAAAAGTAAAGGTTGTAGCTTGCTTCCAAAATATATATTCCATTGGTTTACATCCTATAAAATGCAAGACTAACTGTGGTCTATTGTTGAGCCCTAACACTTTGAACAGACAACATCAGTTTAAATCATGCAAAGGGAACATCATTGTGATCAAGGAACACTAATGACCATTAAAGTTGCTGTCAGTACAATAATAGTATCTCATCTGAGTAACGTGTCAACAGTCCCTCTCTCTGTTTTCTTTTTCTTTTTCTTCTTTTTTTGATTGTGTATTGACAACCTGGGACAACTGATCGCACTACAACGCACTTATAGCAATCCTCAAAGACATAACATATCTTGAGTGAAAGGGTATTTATTAAAACCTAAATGAAGGGAATAATAAATAACAGAAAGTGATATTCAAAGAACTAATGTCTCTAGCAACTGACATTTACAATCATGGAAAATTCACCAAGTAAAGCAAAAATAAAATAAAACTGGTTATAGGACTGCACCTCTGGACTCCATACAGCACAGTTTTGATGAACCCAGATTCCAGCAATACCATAACGATCATTTATAGGACCCAAGAGACGACCAAGCCACCCAGGTTCATCACCAAACCCGTCCCATACATCATATTTTACATCCTCTGAAGCTGATGAACCACTATATGCCTCATTTTCACTCTCACCACCATCTTGCACCAACCTTTTAGGTGGTTTACCATCATTTCCACACCCACACAAACCACAACATCTACCCTGTTTAATCTTTGATCTGCCAAGACTACTGGTTGAATCACGCTTCATTTTGTCCACCTTCACATCTTTCTCACCCTCTAGCTCATCCAATCCAACTTTGTTCTCCACCTGCTTTGTCAAATCTACATACCCTTCAACAACATCCTTTTCATTTTTATCACAGCACCCTCTGTCCTCCACCTCCTTTGTCAAATCTACATTTTCCACATCATCCTTTTTAATCTCCTCAGCACCACATTGTCCATCCTCCAATTCGTTCACCGAAGCCCCATTAACCTCATCAACATCCCTATCATTTTCCGCATCCATCATCACCAACTCCTCCATTTTCTCATCATCCTCTACATTTTCCACGTTCTCATTTCCATCACCCTTCCTCTCCAATTCCAAACTATCCAATCTCTCTTTCTCCTCCTCTCCCTTTACCTGCACACCATCGTCATGCCCTATTTCCTCCTCATTTCCACCATCAATTTCACCACCCAAATCCAGAACACTCTCATCACTATCCTCACTACTCACCACCTCCATCTCATCATCTTCCTCACCCTCCTCATCCTCATCGTTCTCACTCACATTTCCACTACCATGCCCATTCCCACCCTCTTTCTCCTCACTCTCCAGCCCACTCAATGCCTTAACTCTCCCCACCCTCTTCGAACCCATAACAAACTTGCCACCATCAAAACCCCCCTCTCCCTCACCCAATTCACTCTCCCCCGCCTCCATGTCATCAAAAAGCTTCCTCCTCCTACTCTCCCCACTGCTCCCTCCCTTCCCAGCATTCCTCCCTCTTGTCCTCAACCTCGACCTCCAACTCCCCGGTGTATCATCCAAATCCTCTTCTCCTTCACTATCCTCCTCCTCCTCCTCCATAACCCTCTTCGAACTACTATTGCCACTCCTTAAACTACTATTGCCAATCTTAAAACTACTATTACCACTCCTATAACTTTTACTAACACCCAAATTCACTTTCTTCTTCATCTTCTTCCGTTTCTTAGCCGGTGGCGGTGACACATCGAGCAGTTCAGGTGCCCGCCTGACCCGTGAACTCCGTCGGAGCTCCAAGTCAGCAGCCTGACCCGACCCGGATTTTTCCTCATTGAGAGACTCGCTATGGTTCTGATTATACACGGTTTCACATATCGCATCGAGTCTCTTGTGCTTCTTTCGAAGCCTAGCGCCCGTAGGCGAAGAACTCGAACCCAAACCCGAACCCGATTTCAATTGCATAATATATAAAACAATATTATATGTAAATATGACTGAATAGGCGTATGTATATATGGACTTTTAAGAGAAAAGAGGGTTCATCGTGTTGTTTTGGAAATGGGTTTTGATTTTGGAGGGATTTGAGGCAGATAGTTTTGAATATGAGAAGCGACTCACTGAGTTGGACCGATCCCAGTTTGGGGTTGTGGAGAATTTGGGGCTCTGTTTGATTTTTGTGTTTATAAGGCAGAGTTTAGGGCTTATAAAGGAGAGGTTTTGAACTGGTTTTTTGAGCCTCCTACCACGCGACTGACCTGATGTGTGGTCAACGCGAGAGAGGGGTTGTCCATTGATGCTGGTATTCTTTCGGAGAGTGCGGCACGCGCCAAGAAGAGAGTGAATACTGTTGTGCTTAAGTCTAATTTTGCTCCCTTTTTTCTTCAATTTTCTTTTTCCTTGCAAGAATTGCCGCCAATTATTGATTTCTCCATCAATCGGGAAAAAAAAATAAAAAAAAAAGAAGTCCCAAGGTTTTTTTTCGGTTAACATTGTGATGTGCAGCTTCTCAATTTTTTTCGATTGATGTTTTGTTTTTTTAATAGAAGAACATATATTTTGATTTTAAAGTATTTAGGTGCTGTCCAGGGATTACACCATTACACATGTATATTAACAAATATAATTAAAATTTAAATTTAAAAATAAATTAATTTGAAATTATGTAATTTAAATTTTAAATACCAGTAAAAATGAGGGAGTTAATATAATATAGACCGATCGTTCAAAAACAACATGGATGATGGATAAATATAAAATTTGACTAAAAAAATTAAAAATATCTTTCTAAAAAAAGAGTTAACATATCATAGACCGATCGACTTGATAGATTCAAAAACAACATGGATGATGGGTAAATATAAAATTTGATTAAAAAAATTAAAAATATCTTTCTAAAAAATATATTGAAATGATAATATATTAAATTGATTGGGGTTATGAGATCATAAAATGACTTAAATTTGCTCTAGTTAACTTGCAAAATACTTAACCCTAGTTATGAGATTAAGATAATTTAATAAAAAAACCAAAAGATATAACAAAACATAATTCATAATTAACCAAATGATAATATATTAAATTGATTGGGATTATGAGATCATAAAATGATTTAAATTTGCTCTAGTTAACTTGCAAATCACTTAACCTTAGTTATAAGATTAAGATAATTTAATAAAAAAAACCAAAATATATAACAAAACATAATTCATAATTAACCAAATATTGAAAAAGTTGAACGATGAAATTAAAAAAAATAACTAAAAAATAAATAAATACATCTAGTCAATTGAATTAACTTATCAAATTCATGATAAGAGTTATGAGATTAAAATAACTACAAAAAAAATAAAAAATTATGAAGTCCAATTTTTAATAAACTAAGTGTTGAAGAATAAAATTAAAAAACAAAAAATAAAAACTATTTTGCCGAAAATGTTTCGGTAGGAATGGAACCATAACGTTCCAACTGAAATTTTTTAAACGAACTAAAATTTAGAGTGAAATGAAATTTGTTCTAGTTTATTTTATTTTATTTTAACTAGAGCAAGATATATCAGCCATTTCAAACAAAATAAAACAAAATTGACAGTTTTTTGTTTTTTTAATTAGAGCAAGATATATCAGTCATTTCAAACAAAATAAAACAAAATTGACAACTTACTTGAAATTATGTTTGTTCCAATTATTATTTTTAAAGTATTTAGATAATCAAAATATATTAAGTTTTGCATACATTCCATGCAAATTCTCTCTTGAAATATTAATAACAACAAAGTCGTAAATTTATAAATTTTTTTAAATCTACTTTTCTAAATCATAATTATATAATAACCATAAAAACTACTTCAATATCAAACACACATTTACTTTTTTCTTGTTTTTAATAACATTTTTTGTTTTGGTTTAGGGGTATTTAAGTTACACCAATAATCAAGTTTTAATTTTAGGTTCAATTGTAATCAATAAAGCATCTCAAAATCTAACCTAACCACATGATCTTTTTAATAATTTAAAGTATGGTGATATTTTTAATAATGTATCCTACCTTGAAAAATACATGATAATTTCTTTTTTTATCATGCCCTTTTCCAAAATTTGAATTCAATATTTTTTACAAAATTTTTTTCCCATGTAAATTCAATCTAGAAGTTGGCATGAAACAAAGGCCTTGTGTTTAGTGCACCAATTAATAAAAATAAATTTAGTAAAAATGTTGGAATGTTTAGCTGGCGTGTATAAATGATTTGCTGTTGGGCGGTGCACTGTTCTCTTTCCTGGACAAAGGTCTAAGTTTTGAAGGAATACTCAACTCTTACAACTTCATGACGAACAAAGAAAGGTTTACAAAGACAGTTGCAGAGCTACAACCAACAACATTATATGCGATTCTTGTACAGAAAATTAACACTTCCTGGTGACTCAGGCTTCCTCCGGGCGGTAATGGGCAATACTGCACCATCAGCTAGCATCCGCAACAAGACTCTTGCTATATTCTTTGTGTCATCAAGACCAAGATGGTGACTTCCCACCATTGGTATTTTAAGCTGCGACATCATTGTCCTCATTCCTCTGGCCTGTCATCAATAATGAAGGTTAAACATAAGGAAAGAAAGAATAATTGCCATCAACCAGTAATAATCATGAAGGGGGTCGCTTGCACCCAACACTATCAAAACTATGATTAATTTATAGTTGATAGCATAAATAGCAAATTCAGAATGGCAAGTGCTAATCGGAAAAATCATTAAGATAGTTCGCAAAATGAAAGCAAATTCAGATCTATGCTCTAAACTTTTGGCTTGGTTTTTTTGGATGTCAGCAGCAATAAACCTAATGTAAATACATAAAAATCCTTTCTTCAGACATGATCTTAATTTTTATGACTAGAATTATGAATGATGTGTTATGAAACCTTAAGACTCAAAAAATCTGTGTGCATACCTCATTTCTTGGATTATAAAAATTTTGATAGACATCTTTCAGGTTGATCCACTCCATAAAGTATGGGGGGAGCTTCAACTTGGACACAGAACATTGATGAGGGACCTGTGTTTTCACATCCCAATTTCCACTGATAACAGATCAGAACAAAGACATGTCACCAAGTGGATATTATTTCACAAACCAGAAGCAAGATGCCTATTTTATTATTTTGAGGGTGGGCTTTGCCACCTTCACAATATGTCTACTTAGAAGAACGCAATTGATTTAAAGATAGACTCACCAAGTTACAAAAGCTGCTCGATTAAGGTGCCCACCACGAGTCTTTTCCCACAAATTATGGTGAGTCAACCATGATTCAAATTGTTGAAGAACTTCATTAAATGGGAGGGCTGTATCATGCCACACACTGCAAATGCCAGTATTGTAAGATGGATCAATTTTCCACCAGACACATAGAAAACTAAGACTATGTTCAAGATGAATCATTGCTATTCCAAACTCATTCCATGTAGAATAACTTATAATACAATAGGAAAATTTAAGTTAATGGAGGTGTATTTACCAGAAAAAGAAAAACATTAGTAGATTTGCCAATGGTGGTGGAAGCATGGAGGTCAAGAGGAGATGCTAACGTTGCTAATAGCATCATAGAACTGTATTTACTAAACTATTAGTAAAGCAGCTAACGTGGCTGATATAACTCAAAGGAGCTTACATACTACTGATTTGCCAAAACAAAACATGTTATGTTCTTAAGACAGCTACAACCAGTCATGAGCATCAACCACGCATAAACTAACTACAGAAAATTGCTGGTTTCACAGCCCATTTAGTATCCATCAGCAACATCACTGATATCATTAATCTTAGATATTGAGAACCAATAAATATAAAATAATCAGTTTGCAGCTGTTAATAGTCAAAATAGTATGTGCAGGCAAGAGCTGAGGAGGAACTACACAAAATCATCTAGACGTTTTTGTGACCATCAGAATTTTGCTTCCTAAGCTAAAGATGGCTCTGTTAATCATAAATTGTGACATGAAAAGCAGAAAGGGCATCATACCGATCAACTCCAAACTTTCCATATTTGTTGTAGATATATTCATTTACTCTTTCCTCGCTCATTGCTGTAGGCCTTACAAACCTGTAAAACATAAAAGAAATTTTAAGAATACAAAGCAATGCAATCCTACAGATCATGCTGCCAATTTATTTCCCAAACAAACACCATTAACAATGTAACATTTACAGTGCAATAATTTACAGTATTAGAGAAACTCCATTCATATTTATGTAAACTCTTCAATTTAACTTTGACAATAAAGAAACAAACCATTAGACGATGCCTTAAAAAGAAAAGAGTGTTAACCTGTGAAACAAATCGACAACACCCATATTTTTTGCATCGATTATCAGTACAGGAAACTCAAGAATCTCAACTTTCCCTTCCAAATCAAACACCAAGAAAAAGTCAAAATCTTGAGGCCTTTTTCGTTCAAAATCAGCAGCACTGACTTGAAAATCCCTAGAGCAATCATGATTAAACCTCTCTACATGAACAGGGTCATCAATCTGAATATAAACCACAAAAATCCCATTACCATTCACAGTCCAAAAGTCCAAACCTTTCACAAGTTTAACAAAATTAACAATAGAAACCCACAAAAGTTTGCACTTATTTATCCAAGTTTAGCTAATTCTCAACAGAATTAACACTGGAAACCAGCAAAAGTAATAATTGCTAATAAAAAGTTGAAAAGTTTAAAACTTTACCTTAGTACACTTGCCATGTGTGTGATATAAGCACATAGGCTTCCATCTATGAGTGGCATTGGGATTATTAACAGGAGGAGAAGGTATTAAAGAGGGTAGTGAAAGAGGGGGCTGTGTTTGTGTTTGGGAATTGAAATCAGTGTATGCACGAGCAGTTTGGTAAGTGGGTAATGATGGGGTTTTGGATACCGGGATAAAGGGCGGGTGGAGAAGGTGAAAGCAGTTGTTGCTGTTGTGGAGATACGAAGGAACCCTAGACAGAGGAATCCTAGGGAAGGACATGTTTTGTTGGTGAGTGTCAAGGTTTGAATCGAAGAGGAAGGGATTTGGGTTTGTGGGCGTCAGGATAACGAGATGATGATTTGGCAGGCAAATTTCAGAGGGTAATGAGGGGTCCTCCAGGATACAGGATGTTGCCTTTCTTTTCAGGTTTGCGTCTTGTCCTTGAGTTCATGATTGACCGGCTTACGGATGGTATGGATGAATTTGGGTTGATTTAAAAATTCAAAAAAATTATTTTTTTTTCAAATCAATGAGTTTATAGTTTTATTTAGATTATTAAGTTAATCTGAGTTTTTAATTAATATAACCAAGATTTTTTTAAATTGGATTACTTTAAATCTTAAATTGATTAGGTTTTGAATTGATTTACCGGTCTAAATATTCATTAAATAAAAATAATAATATCATCTTATTAAATATTTTTTTAAATTATTTTAAAATAAAGAACTTAAATAAAATAGTTTTTATTACTTTTTATGTACATTTAATTTTTATTTATTTTTATTAGTCTGTACATTTAATTTTTTAAAGAATAAAGACCCAAAAAAATAAGATGTCATTATTTATTCCCATGTCTCATAAGATTTTTCGAGTTCTCATATAATTTTATTTTTTTTAATTTTAAATCAGACTGGATTGAATAAAACATCAAGGTGGAAAAAAAAAAGGTGATGAATGATAAACATCTCGTTCACATTTTTATTTATATGTTAAATTTTTTATTGAGAAATTATGTATTAACTTTCCAAATACAACAAGAGTTGAATAGTTTATCTGGAAAAAAAGAAAAAACTAAAGAAATGAAGCTAAATCTTGCAAGTTCTCGTATATATTATATCTCAACTTATTTTGTCAATGAGTTTCAAGAATTAATGATAATTAATACGATCTAACAATGAATTTACAAGGAATTTACTTGATCATTTTTTGTTTTGAGTTACAAGCTTTCAATTCCATTGTTTGTTAACTAGAAACAAGGTTTTGTGCTCGAGATTTAGGAGCTGCTTGTTCTAATTATCTAGCAGCTAAATATGTTTGTCCTATTGGATCAGTTTTTCCATTTTCTTGGGTTTGGATGTGTATTTTTTGACCAATTTATGATGGGTGCTTTGTCTATTGCATTTAAGCTAAATTTGCTCGCTTTTTGCAAAAGAGAAAGCTGAGCTTTAAAAGGGCAGGCTCGAATCCTCAGGTCTCTAGTAATAACGCTAATTAGTTCATGTTTAGCAATATTAACTTTATTTTTTTTATAAAAATAAAAATAGAAATTGTTTGAGCATGGTTGGTACATCCCGATTTGAGTTTGGGGCTTAGTGTATCCAAGTGAAGGACAATGGTGCAAAGAAAAACATGAAAAAAAAAAAATTCTAACTTGTTTCTTTCACGGGGATCCAAACGACAATACAACATCGAACATCATTTTCCAATGATTGTGCTTGATTTGGATTCTTTTGCATTGCTGGGATCACAGGTGGGAGTTGAAGATGAGGTTCATGAAGAAAAGTTTCAGGCTTAGATTTGAATTCAAGGCTGACTAGAAATTCAAGTCATAATACATATTCCTGCAGCATCGCAGGAATTACATGTAACAAGAGAAATGCATGATTCTAACCAGCAAATTATAGCAAGTAAACTACTTGCAAGCAAGAGAGAAACATGTTTGGGGAAGATGAATAAGTACAACCTTTGAATAAAAAACAATATGTGCACAGTTAACTCCTGAAGCGAAGGCTGGGGTAGCTAGCTCAAAATCCTGATAGGAATATGACTACGTTCTAGCAGTAGGTGCTCTCATCAATCCTCCTCTTCATCGTCTGTCATTGTGAAATCTTCTACCAGAGTAGCAGTCATATTTTCTTTGCTCATTGAGCGCATTTCCTCAATTTCAACAAGTAATAGCGGATCAGAGACCACTTTATCTTGCCGCAAATACCTGGGACAGCCTGAGAGGTAGATCCATGGTCAAAAGTTAGACTCGTACATCAAATTCACAAAATAAAACAGGTGAATATGGGATACCTGTTACGGGGCATTTGGCTTGTGCATTTATGGATATGTAGCCCATGATTGCTTTCTTTTCATACACATGCTTGCAATCCACACTAGACCAGGGAAATAGTAAACATGACAAGTTTTGAAACGTAAGAAATAAGGTCAGATCCACAAAAGCTTCCATCTTAAACAACTCGGCAATTTTAATTATTCTAACTGGGCTGCTATAGGAAGATAAATTTGAAGTAAACATACAGTACCCGCGAACTGGTTCTGCTAGTTCAGTAATTGGCTTTCCACTCAATGGGCACGTGATATTCAAAATGGTGGACTGGGTATTTGTCATTACAATGTCCTCGTGCTCTTCACCCGGCATTGGTTGACCTGAATGATGAACATTCTGTGGTGGAAGACAAAAATGGAAAACCAAAACCAGTGGTTAAGCACACTACAACACATCTAGAATCAAGCAACCAAGAATTCTACACTGAGCTCACTAAGCAAGGCCTCAGTGACATCAACAAACCACAATCAAGTAATTAACAACATTATATTAATGCACCAGAGTGCGGATGAAATCCCCCACTTAATGATTCGACCGCTGATCTCAAAACCTAACAGGAAACTGAAGATCATGTTACTGCTAGAAAATAGTCATGTGATGCCTTTGTGGAGTGCAATAATGCAAGAAAGAAGTCAATATCAATTAATGTCAGGAAATGTACCCAGACAGCTTCTCGAAATTGACGCAGTAGTGGATGATTCTGCGGGGCTGAGGATTTATTACCCTTAAACTTCATAAACTCATCGTTAAGCAACTTTTTGAAATCGGTTAGCTGCATTTCAGACACCAAACCAATGTAAGTCTGACAACATGCAAAAACCAGAACACTAAAAATCAACCGAAAAAGAAAAAACCCACCTCTGCCCCAGGCTGGTATGTGTTACCAACAGATTCAATTGCAGAAGTCTGATACGTACAATCTTCATACGTCACTAACAACTCAGCAACAGTGTTTTCAAGTTCATTCACCTAAAATTCCATATAGTCATCAATAAACTCAAGAAGTTACAAAGAAAAAAGAAGATCAGCTCCATTCACAAAGAAGTTCAAGCCCTCTCCAAACCCTTTTATTTTTATCTTTTGTCATTCAAAGCGAAGCTAGATATCCAAAATCCCAAAATGAATTTCAAGAAAGATATCTACATGAAGGCAAAAAGAACTACTAAAACAAAAGCACTAATTAGTTAGAAATCAAGCAAATAACTCCCTCTAATTGATTAATTAATTACAATCAAAGCAGAACCCATTTTACATCACGAAGTTCCAAATAAACCCTTAATTAAAATTTTACTAATTAAAAAAGATACCAAATCCCCAATTTTTATTTTTTTGAAAAACTTAGGAAAAAAATCAAACTCTTTACAAAAAGCAAAGATTTTTTTTTATATATAAAAAAAGTACTTTTGCAGACTCATTCTCTCTCTCAAGATCAACTGCGATCTCCTTCATCATATTGAAAACCTTCCTCATTTCCTGTACAAAAGCCAATTCAAATTAGGGTTTCAAAAGTGGGTTTAAGAAATTGGAATCGAAGTGAGGATTTTGAGAGACTTACAACGATGAGAGATTGGTTCTCTGAGCAGAGCATCGAAGAGGAGGTTGTCATTATTCCTGAGGTGGAAGGAACGTCGCCGCCGCCGCGAGGAGCGGAGGTTGATGCCATGTATAGGATCCGATTCGTTAGTGGCCGGGCAGTGTGTTCTTTGGAGGGAGAAATAAGGAGGGAAAGGAGATTAGAAGAGCGAAGTGCTGTGGTTCGCATAAAGTGGAACGGTGACGTGTTGTTGAATGTGGAAACGATGACGTATTAAATCATATCGGAGGATTGCTCGATTGCGAAGGCTGATGCAGAAATAGCAAGTGTAATGGATACCCAAAGTTCGGATTTTTAATATATTAATATTCATATTTAAAAATTAAATTAAATTAATATTTATATTATATTAATTATTTATTTTATAAAAAAAATAGATATTTATATCCAATTTGATGAACTTTGATTTTATTTTAACATAATATAAAGAAAAATTATTATATTTATCTTTGCGTTTGTTTCTAATGGTTCATTTTTTTCCATGTGTTTTTAATTTGATAAATTAACTTTAATGCTCTTCGAAATTTATCTAAATAATCCCATTTATAAGTTTCATTAAGTGTTAATGTTAATTAAGTGTGCAAATGTGGTCTTATTAAATATTATATAAAAGATATTTTATATTCATACATGATCTGTATCATCAATAAATTATCTTAAAAAAATACTAAAAATAGATAAATTATGCTAAAGTCACCCATTTTAAAAGCCAAATCTATATATATATAAAAAATCGAAAGTATTTAATAATCTTAAAGATGTAGAATGGTTGCATCTGAACCTTATACAAATTTATATAGTTCAAATAATTTAAAAAAGAAAAAAAATACATATAGTTCAATTGAGAGTTTTTATTTCCTCAAATTTATATATTATTTTTAAAGCTTAATTCATTTTGTGATATAAACCTTATATAAATATAAAAAATCGAAAGTATTTAATAATCTTATGTTAACATTGAGACTTGACAAAAATTAGTGATTTGTCATAAATTATGTGAAACGGTACAGCATCATCAGCCTAATCAACCTGTAGTAAGTTTCTATCAAAAAGTTTATCCCTGTCAGGTTCCCGCAATTATATTTGCAGGCCGGAAAGGTGGCCAGTGATCCATTTCTGCTCCTTGAAATTGAGGAAATGCAAAAATGCTGGAATTAAATTTTCTTACAGAACCCAATCAAGAGGAGAAAGGCTGCTGAAACCACTTCAGCTAGAAATCAGTCTTGGCAATATCAGGATTTTCAGTTCTTTTATTGCAGCCTTCTTTTCAGTATCATTACATTTATCTTAAGTATTTCCGGTCACCGGTTAAATTTTGCTCTCGGCACGGGGAAGACCTTGAGACTCAATCTCCAATCATGCAATTCTTGTAAGAACTTATTTCAGATCATGTTTTTAAGATGTCCCTGCTGTGCCATGGATTTGTATGCATTCTTCCTGCCTTGGAGTTTGTAGGTTTCCTGAGATATTTCTTGTGAATATATTTAATTTTGAGTTTCGAGTCTTGCTCTCTTTGTTCTATTTTTTTAAAAAGATATTTATATTATTAAACGTTAGAATTCAGCGAGATTAGTATATAAGCTGCAAAATATTATATTATAGCAAAATACCACAAAGAAGACAAAATACAGTCTAAGAAAAATAAAAAACAAAAAAGCTAGAGAACCACATATAACCCTGCACAAAAAGGACAACGAGGTAATAAAGCCTGGGAAGACTATTAATATCCATTAGAATAAACTCGTAGCTTAACTTTCCTCTACGAAACAAAACAAGTATAATCTCAAAAGCATAACAGCAAAAAACATATAAGAAGAGTCGTAAGATTGATGGTTGATTCAAAACCAGGCAACAAAGTCACTTGATTTATGCATTCTTTATTTAGCCATGCAATCTGCCATGTAATTATTTTAACAAAAGATATGAGAGTAGGTGATTGAGTTAAAATATACATTCAATCTGTTAACAAAGAAGAAAAGATATTGATGCTTCCAAGGACAGTTGTGAGGTTTATGCATCTAGCTAATAACATTGATAGAATCAGATTCTATGATGAGATGTTGATGATGAAGAAGATAATTAGATGCTGATAGTTCAGTGACTTTGACAATATACCTTAACTCAGCAATATTATAATCTAAAATTCCAAATGGAATAGAGAACATACTAAGAAGATGGCCATGATAATTTCACAGCATACCACTTATTTTAGAGGGGCCTAGCTTACCAAAAGAAGAACCATCCACATTTCATTTGAAGCTATTAATCATAAGAGAAGACCACATAGTATTAATTCTAAAAAAATAAGCATTGGACTACCAAAACAGGCCATATGCCAATCTGATCAGATCTGCAAGGAAGTATGGGAAGTCAAAATGGATAACTTTTAATCATAAACAAAGACAGGTAATAATAAAAAAGAATACACACACATACACGTACTTTAGGAATTCTCTCACTTTCTTTTTTCTTACACGCTACAAGTATTCTGCTTTGATTCTGTAATGGCCAAACATGTTATGCTAGTTGAATAGAAAATATATTACAAATGTTTCACTCTTTCTTTCTTCACCCATTTCTCTTCATAATTAATATTACAATGCATCTTGTCTTCTTCTTCTTTTTTGTAAACTTTTCATCCTTTTCTACGCCATGAATGTTAAGCTTGTTAGATGCATGAGAATAAGATTTTATCAATATATTTTTATCAAAAAACATCGGAACAAGAAAAACTTATAGATATAATTTTTCAAAACACAAACATGCCACAGTAAAAACATGTCTTGTCTGATGCCAGGTAAACCCAATAATGATTGGGCTTGGTAGTTTCTGAAGCCTCGAACATTGAGTGTGGCACTTGCAAGACCCAACTATGCATTGTCAAGCCCAAATACATTGGGTCTGGTGTTGGTCAAACCTAGCCATAGATAAGCTTGGCAATACACCTAGCCTAAGCACATTAAGTTTAGTGCCGGTTAGTGATGAGCTTGGCAATGGACCTAGCCTAAGCATATTAGGTTTAGTATTTGTTAGACTTAAGAGATAATTGGATCTATTACCGTCAATTCTATATATTTTTATATAAAATTGTATAAAATTTATTTCTCAACAAATAAACTTAATTAAATAAGTTTATACTCCACTGACATCATTGGATGTATTAAAGTCTTTCATGGCCAGTTATATCTCTATCTTTTAGCCGGATAAAATGAGTGGAATACAATTTACAATGTAACACAAAATATTACAAAGATAAAGTTACACTCTAGTCCATTTTCTTTCTAAAAAAATTTATTGGCTATAAATACATTATAAAATCTTTAGAACAAAGATTTATAATTTTTATTCTTTATTGAATATATATTTCTAGAACATCTCTTTAGAATATCATTATAATTTCTCTCTTTAAAAAATATTTATTTAAGCATCGAAGAGTCCTCATCTATACCAAAAAAAACCTTTTGCAAAGAGTAGTCAATATTTGAAATTTTGGATGTTTTGACACATCAAAATGGTAATATTGCAATTAAAATTTCATATGAAGTTTCTCTTATTCAATAAAATCTTTGGGACACTTTTTTTTTTTGTCAAATTGCTTACATCATCAAAATTAAATAAACTATAAGAATCTTGAAAATATAATGTTGAACTTATAAATAAAAAGCTTTACTATCTAATCATAAAATCTATTATTTAATTCTTATAATTACAAATTAATTGCAGTCGCAAATATATCAATTCTAAATGATGTTCTAAAATAAAGATTACTTTACTTTGATGAGGATACTTACCATGAGCTCATGTATATTGCGCTTTCAAATCAGGAACATCGACATCAATTTGCACACACAATTCTTTGACATTTTGAAGTAAAGGTTACACTCCATCATTTTGTAACTTTTGAATCAATGACTTTATAGTTG